TTTCTAAATAAAGGACAAAGAGACAGAGAAATAGAGAACGCAAAAAGGAGAGAAAGAGAAATTGTTTTGCGTATTGTGAATTGTTTTCTGAATATTGTATTTGCTAAAAAGAAAATGAAATTAATAAGAACTGAAATCAAATAAGAAAAGCACACGCTTACACAGCCGACAACGAACAAACAAAAGAAAGTAACAATAATAAAAATGAAGAAAGAGAAAATATTAAAATAACAAAAAGAGTGATATAGAAGAAGAATTTATCGATCGGCTTGGGTCTAAATATTCACATATGTATAAGAAAACAAATAATAGAATTTTTAAAAACAAAATAGAGAAAATTTGAAAGAAAAAACAAAAAAAAATAAAAATTTCTTTCTCTTTCTTCATGTTTTGGTTTTCCTCAACAATTTCGTCTCTATATATACAAATATTAAATATTTGTATAATTGTGTACCTCATGAAGATGCAAAATATTTTCACAATTGAATTTAAATTTAAAGCTTTAAATTTTAATTTAATATAAAACGGAAATTATAAAGTTATAAAATACAAAATAGAAAATTCAAAACCAAAAAAAAAAAAATAAAATATTGAATGAAAACAAAATAGAAAAAGGTCATAATACTTTCAATTACAGAAAACAGATATACGATACACAAATACATACATAATTATTATGCTAACTCATTTTAAATATATACACACATATTAATTTTAAATGTACAACAACAAATACACAATCCCCCAATTCCTATACATTATATCTGTGAAAAAAAATTATATCCACATTAATATACTTAATTATATACGCATAATACTAACATTATATTTATATTATATTAAATATTATATTTACACACACCTATAAATATAATATGTATATGCATATACATTATTATTATTTATGTATTTCTTTAATAACCCATATTATATACTCGTACCATAACAGTACAATAGAGCATAACCCAAATATAATTTATGTATGATTGTATATATATATATATATATATATATATATATATATAACAAATTAACCGCTTTACCTACATAATGTGAAATACATATACTTTCAATGATAGTATAGAAGAAAATGGCGCGAAAAAATAATGAACAAAATAAACGGTAAAACAAAAAAACGTTACAAAAAAACAGAGTTACAAACAAATAAAAAAAAAGAAGAAATTTCTCAAAAGCTTATAAGGGGAAAAAAATAATAACATTTTTGTTGTTGAACGAAAGCTTTCATTTTGAATAATTTTTGAACTCAAGAAGGAAGCTTTTAAAAATTGTTTTTATTAAAAAAAAAAAAAAGTTAAAATGAAAATTATGCAAAAAAAAAATTTTTTTTTTTTCTATTTTTCACATACCTTTTTTTACCAAAAATTTATGACTTTTCGTGTTTTACGATTCATTTTATTTATTACCTACACTTAAAATGTTTTTATTAATAGTAAAGAAATTTATACTTGCTATATATCGTTTTCTTGCTTTTTCTTGCGAGAATATCCACCTACATACACAGTACATACATTTTTACATATTATATGAAATTTTAAGAAAATTTATTTATAAAAAAACAAACAACAATGGAAATAATAATGCTTTTCTTTTGGTAGGCATAGCGTATTATATTCAACGTAAAGACAAGGAAAAATAATAAAAATTGCATACTTTTAGGAAACAAAACAAAATACGCTTGAATTAAATATAGTTAACTACCTAACAATAAAATTATAATGTGTACAATTTTATATTAATTTGCTCGTAAAGATATTTATAATAATATATTATATCGTAATATCGTAAAATCGATTGTAAAAGAACTAAAATTGTAATGCATTTTTTAGAATTAAATTTTTCAGTATTGTTAAAAATCATCAATAGTTTTTAATTAATTTTAATTTTTTTATTTCTCTTATATAATTATGATATTGAGAAAAATTAAGAAATGAATAATAATAGAAAATTAAAAAGAATATTATAAATTAGAAATAACTATAGTAATATTCTGTTGTCTGTAGGAACTTCGTCACTTATTTCTACCGACTAAATTTGAAAAAAAATTCGAAAATTTCACTCGTTTTAATAGTAAGAAATGCAACTTGTATTTATAAATAAGAGAGATAGCAAATAATATATGTTCTGTTCGAATAAAATCAAAATTTTTCGTAAATTTCATTTAATTTCGTCTAAAAATTTAATCATCAATTCTATTTCTCCACATATAGGAAGAAAATGCATTTAGACACAAAATTTACTTATTTAACTAAACTAGCTCATAAAAAAAAAAAAACGAATATAAAAAATAATAACTTTGTGATTCGTATATAAGCGGATCGTGTTGGTTATGTACGACGACTGTTACATCAGCTTTAATAGAAAACTACTTCCATAGTTTTATAATTCGCAAATTTTTAATAATTAAATGAATATTAATTATTTCCAACATATTTATCTGTTATTTAATTACTATAAACTCATAAATTCAATAAAATATGAAATTTTAGCACCACTCTTGTAATATTTTTCAATTATTAAATAACTAATATTAAATTTTATTGCTTCAATATAACTATGAATATATATTTAAATATATAAACATAGCTATAATCAAGCAATAAATGGTCGATGCTATTATCTTTTAATTATTGAAAAAATGCATACTTTTAGGATGAGGCAAACAAAAAATTTACTTTGCTGAATTAATATCAACACTGAAAAAAATCAAAAATTAAAACATTGAACACCTCCTTTTAATAAACATTAGTATGGGATTTGAAAATTTAAAAATTATATTTGGATATTTTTTTTTTTGAAAAAAAAAAAAGAAAAAAATTCAAATAAAATTTTATTTTGAAATTAAAAATAAATTATTGAATCGCTATAAAGAATATATTTAAGGTAATTTTGAATAAAATTCAAAAACAATTGAAATTTTCAAATAGGGTTCGGATTTATTCAGAAATAAAAATGTCATTTGTTATAATTTTCACATCACAAGAATAATTCTGATTCAGATTTCAAATTATTAAAACAAAATATATTTAATCAAAAATTTAATTCAGAACGTAAATGGTCTATAATAAGAACAAATATAAGCCCAGAAAGTTCAATTATACCATACATACCAATAATTACAAGGGACAAGATATGGTTTCGGTTTTATTCCCGAAATCACATTACAAATGACAGGAAACCTTTTGATTGTGTCTCATTTTCTATAGCGCAGACTTTTATCAAAATATATGTCACTTTAATTAACAGCGTCTGAATTCTTCCTTTTTGTAATATTTTAAATGTCCACTCTCAATTTTATTTTCCCTTTCGTATTTCGTATTAAAATTTTCTCTTTTCTATTAGGAAAGAGAAAAACAGAAAAATATTTTTGTTTTTTTTTGAAATACAATTTAAAATTTGAAATGAAATTAAAAGTTCTTTTTTGCATATCATTGGTGGCTCAGCATCAAAACAAAACCAACACTCTTAAACACAAAATATAGAGTAAGGAATAGAACAAAAAACGGGAATGAAAATGGGCAAAAAAAAGGAGGCAAACAAAAAGCTTTTTTATTTACAAAAATAAATTCTTTTTTTTTTTTTTCTCATTTTTTTTTTACTCTTATTAAAATTTTCTTGTATATATGCGATAAATGAGAAGAAAACACTTTGTATTGTACAAGTATTTGTCATAGCATCGTCATTATCATAATATATTATATGAAAGAAAAAATATCCCATTATATTTATATTACTGTTATTATTATCAATTGTATATATGTATTTTCAAATAGTATGCAAATAATTAAATATGTATACATATAGATCTACATTTTATATGTACAATATGAATACGAAATTATCCTATTTTATATTGTATATTATACACAAATCTTTCCATGTATAAGTAGTTCATTACTTTCGTCATATTATTGTATGCGTTCAATAGATATATATTTATATATGATGATATACATATATAAATATACGTAATTTTGTAAACAAATATATGTTAGTTTGTTTTACTTGAAGGAGTAGGGAATCATAATAATAATTATATCATATATATCATACACAATTACAAACATTGTATATAGATGTAAGTGAATTTATTATATGGTACAAAAATATTATATATAAACTTTTAAAATAATATTGCCAGACTTGCAATAAGTTTATTTATTAACTGTCGAATATTCAAAACAAAAAAAAAGGCAATATCCCTAAAAATCTTCCTAAAAATATGGATAGCACTGTTTCAAATTAAATAAGAGTTGAAAAAAATTTTTTAAACTATATTACCCCCCTCTAAACTAACCACCCCCCTCTTCCACCCTCCCCCCCCCCAAAACCTTTGCACCACTGATGACATTTAACCACCGAACACTATTTTTCCTTCGCTAATCCAGGTTTTTCTGCCAAAAGAATTAAGAGCATGATATATCTGAATTTTTTGAACATCATCAGCATGCAGAATTTTTGATTCTTAATCGCTGAGTTTATTCTCAAAAACATATAATAAAGTCTAGACTCTCTATTTCTTCTCATTCAAAAGAATTTAATCGACAATTTTAAATTTTGAATTTGACAAAATTCGTGGCAATAATTTTCTGAATTTTTTCAACAAATTGATATTTGCTTTCTAAATTTTAATTATAAGCGGTAACACTTTTATTTTTTTGTTTTTTTTTTTTTTGTTTTTGCAATAAAATCAAACATAAAACACATACAAACACAATTGAATACGAAACTCATCTTTTTATCATTTCGTTTTGTTTTTCTTATTTTTTTTTTTTCTGTGTAATTTTTACTTCTTAATCTAACTTTGCTCTATACACATGTATTATTATATATATATTATTTTTGCGAACAATTTTTGTCGAAATCCCCTCTCTAAATTTTTTTTACTTTTTACATGTTTTTTTTTTTTTTTTTTGTTTGAAGTAAAAAATTAAATATAAAACGTAAAAAGAAAAAAAAAAAACGGGAAAACTCTTCTAGAGTGAGTTTTAGAAAGTTAATAATTCTAGAAAAGCTTAATTCGCGCCAGTTTAAACCGAACTCTTGTTGAGTACAGTACAAAATTATCTTGTTATAGAAAAACCGACAAATAAAAAAATTAAAAAGGAAAACAAAGGATTATTTTGATTTCAAAAAATTTTAATTGTGGGTCATATTGAAAAATTGCAATAAAAAAAAAAAAAAAAAAGAAAAATTAATTATTAAATTATTGTGTAAAGGAAGGCAAAAAATTTGAATTTAAAAATTGAATTGGAAAAAAAAAAATTAAAAAGTAAAATTTTTTTTCTCTTAAAAGGTTATTTAAAAGAGTACCGTTATAATTACATTTTTTTTGAATAAAAATTTTCAATTTTTTCTTTTTAATTTTAATGAAATTCGTTGGAAGTTGGAATTAAATTAAAAATTCTAATTAAAATTTTTATTAGAAAAAAAAAATTTTCTATATTTTTAAAAATAAAAAAATTTTAATTGTTAATTTAAAAACTATTAGGTTGTTAAATTTAAAATTTGATTGAAAAAAAATTTTAAGAAAACAAATTGCGTTTTTAATTAAACATTGTGTACCGAAAAAAATTTTCAAAAAAAAAAAAAAAAACGAAACTGCGTTTATCTCAACTCCAATTTTTTCCATATACCAAAAAAAGAATAAAAAAAAAATCAAAACAACAAAAAAAAATTAATTATAAAATTTCATTTTTTTTTTTTCATTTTCGTTTTCTGTAATTCGTTTTTTTTTTTCCTGAAATTTCATTGTTCACAGCTCCCAATATTTTTGAAAATTCAAAAAATTTTTCAAATTTCCATAAGTTTTCCAAAAATTTAATTTTTACAACTTTTTTTTTTTTCTCAAAATATATTTTTATTTTTTACTATATTAGTAAACAATATCAACCATAACACGCCACAAAGGATCTAAATAATAAAAAGAAAAACTAAAACAAAAAAAAAATTAAAAAAAAAATAAAAAGTTCAAGAGAAAAGTTTTGTTGTATAAAAAAATAAAAAAAAAAAAGAGAATTTTCAATAAGAATGGATCAAGCACAGGAAAAACAAGAGAAACAAGAAAAACAAGAAAAGCAAGAAAAACAAGAAAAACACCATCATCATTCGCATCATCACCATCTTCATCATGGTAACAATAACAGAGTCAGTGTATGTATCTTCCTTTCTCGTTCACCCTTGAAATTGTATTTTTCAATATTTTTTTTCGTTTTGTTGCTGTTTTTGCTCTTGTTTCTAATCCTTATAAAATTTTTAAATTTTTTTTTTATTTTTTTTTGTTTTGTGGCCCACTTCTTAATTTTTTTTTTTTTTTTCCGTTTCATTTTTAATTTTCATTCAAAATCGCATAAATATTTTTTTTTTTTGTTTTTTTTTTTTTTCCAAAAATTTCGTTCTCTCGTTCCAAAACAAAATTTCGGCGCATTTTATTATTTTCGAATTCGTTTCATATATTATACCGTTATACAAAAATATAATAAACTGTTATTATATTATTCTCTATAATATATTTTATATATGTATTGCGTGTGTATGTGTACAAAATATGTAATGCACATAATATGATAGGCTCTAAGTAACAAGGTAAAGTAAATATGTATGTACAAATGTAAGGTCTTTAGTTACAAAGAAAATATTTTTCTTACCAGATCGCCTTTTTTATTGTTTTTTTTTCTTTTTTTATTTAAAATTGTTCCTTAAATTTTTTATATATTTAAGAATTTCTTTTGATTTCTTTCTACTCTTATGTTATACATATTTGTATATGTATGTATTTAATATTTTAATACAAGTAGGCAGCTATGATAGGCAACTAAAGAAACACAAAATTTTATTTTACATTGCATACTTTACTGTTAAAAAGTTGTTTGTTTCTCTACGTTCTTATGCTTGTTATTTATAATACGTTCTTCTTTATAATATTTTTGAATATGGTGTACTTACTTACATACATTTATTTTTCTTAAATAATGTACGGTATATTTTCATATACCGTGTGTATATAAAATGTGAGAGTATTTTTAAAATTTATTTTGTTTTTTTTTTTTTTTACTTTGCCCTTAGAATGGAAAAAAACTAGTTCAAATCTATACTTAAGAGAATTAAGTAAGAAAAGAAAAAAAAAAAAAAACAATTTTATATTTTACAGAATCTACACAATTTATATTTATAATCTCGATATATGTACGTGAATATATATATGTAAATTGTATGTATGCTTTTATTATGAAATGTAGTATAAATTTGTTATTAAATATTTATTTCAAAAATAAATTTTGTACTAGAATAGATTCTGTCTTCTGAAAATATGCTTAAAGAAATTTTTTAAATTTGAAGCATACTTTTAGGCAAATATCAAAATATGATGTTATTATGTCAAATTAAGATTATATTTAAAAATTTCATTTTATCATTAGATTTTTATTCAAATCAAGCAAAAAAACCAATCATTGTAATTGAACAATTTCAAATAATTTGTAAAACCTTGACTAATGGCTAATGAACTTTATGAATCTATTTATAATTTTTAATTACCAATTTTCAATTTTATAGTATTTTTTTTAATTCTATATATTTTGAATGTTTACCCCTAAAATATCATCTTGAAAAATTTAAAAATTTCAATTTTACGATATTATATTCAACATAAAAATTAAGATATTAAAAAAATATTGGCAAAAACAAAGAAAATTATATACGTATTTGAAAAAACATGTCTGCAACAAAAATGCAGTAACTCAAAAAAACATTCATTTCAAGAAAACTTATATTAAAATTAATTACGAACAAATATTTTTAAAATTTCTATACTGCAGAATTTCAGATTTTATTAAATTTGACTTAATTATCAATATAATTAGAAAAATTGTATTGATGAATAATTGAAATTGCAAATCAAATCCTAATTTAGATAAACATCAAACATGACTAATTTTATAATAAATTGCAGTCTAATACGAGGGTCACTATTTATATTTCGGGTCTAGCAATAAAAAACAAACATTTATCATTGGAAATGGTTTTATTGTTTTTCAAAATATTCCCCATGAAGATCAATACACTTTTGCATGCGCTGAAACCAATTTTCGTAGCACTTTTTCCACTCCGATTGAGACACCTCCAAAACATGGTTTTTGAACGCATCGACTGCTTCTTCAGGTGTTGAAAATCGTTGTCCACGCATTTTTTTTTGATGTGAGGGAATAAGAAGAAGTCATTGGGTGCTAAATCAGGACTGTACGGCGGATGACCCATCAATTCGACATTTTGAGTGCTCAAATAGTCCATTGTTTCAGCTGATTTTCAACACACCTTTTTCACGGCAAGATGTTCATGCAATATCTTATGTACGCTGGTGGAACCAATGCCCAAGGATGCCTCAATCTCACAGTATATCACATGCCGGTCCATCATTATCATTTCGCGCACAGCATCGATGGTTTCCGGCAAAACGACCGAAATTGGCCGACCTTCACGAAATTCATCCTGGAGCGAACGGCGTCCGAAACCAAACTCTTGGTACCAGCGATTTACAGTGGTTTTTGATGGTGCTTCATCACCAAAAGTCGAAACAAGTTGATCGAGACACTCTTGTCTCGATAATCCGCGCCGAAAATCGTAAAAAATCATCGCACGAAAATTTTCACGGGACAATTCCATTTTTTGACCGAGATGAATTTTTCAAGTCACTGTAAACAAAACAATTCGCGCTCGAATGACAAAACGTTCTGAGTGAAGTTGTCCTAAAAAATGTCAAACTTTCCAATGGAAGTGTCAGATTGCACCTGGTAGCACTAGTATTGCCAGGACCCGAAATATAAATAGTGACCCTCGTATAAGCCACCACGTGATAATTCAATAAGGTTACTATGTGTTACATTAAGAAATGAGTTCGAAGTAAAAAAAAGATTTGCCATTATAAGAAATGTAATAAAGTATTTAAAGGTATTAGGTTAGGTAAGGTTAGATTAGGTCGACACAGCTACAGCAAGAATCCATAAAGTCCCCAACCCTTACGAGAACCAGCCCAAGCTTTTCAAAAACTGTCAAAGGCAGGGTGCATTAACATTTGCCAGATCTATAGCCCATAAAAAGTAAAATGATCCTCCAAGAAATCTCCACCGTCTTCCTGCTAAAGTCGAAAATAAGAAAAGGAGATAAGCCACCGTTTATTAACGATTTTTAAATAAATAAAAATAAAATCACCTACAAGGCTTGCACACTATATTTTAACAAACTCCAAATGGAGAATTTTCAACACTATACGAAATTCTTAATTATCTTGGAAAATGAAAAATCAAAATTTTTAAGTTAGCATACTTTTGTCCCTGACATGCAATGTATTTAAAAAATTTTAATGTACAAATAGTACAGCTAATACAAAATAATAGCAATTAATGAGAATTTTTTATAAAATTCTTAATGTTTATTAGTGTTAAAAAAAAAGCAAAAAACACACAAAACTCTACATAATTCTGTTATTTTTATTTAATTAATTCTTTTATACCCCGAAATATACAAAAAATTCAAAATGTAAAAATTACGTTCTTAAAATGTAAAAATTATATGATATGCGACCAACTTATTTCTAATATTGACTCCATTTTATTAATTTTTTTTTTTCATGTAATGAAATATTCGTATATTATTAATTCTACCTTAATAAAGGTGTGCCCCTTTTATTTTTGTTTTTTTGTTGTAATTTCATTTATTGTAATAGTCATATCCTGTAGGAAACTCTCATACAAATGTAGAGAAACACATACATTTTTATATTATACAACAATATAAGATAAGTAAGGAATCTAATTATATGAGTGGCCCATATACAAGTACAGAAGAGTGAAAGAAATGGTGATTCTTAATAAATTTCAAATTATATTATAATATAAAAACGTAAATTATTTTGCGTTTTGTGAAAAAAAAACAAAAAAAAAAAACAGAAATAAACACTTATTTTTTAATGTTTCTGGTGAAAAACCATTTGCATATTACATGTACACGAATTCTAATTGTATGTCAGTCTTGGTTAATTAAAGTTTTAATACGTCATATGTTTTTAATAAAAATATAGAAGACTTGGTGATGAAGACTATTTGAAATTTGAATTTTTTCAAAATATTTTCATAACAAATGGTAAAGAAGGTCTAATGAATTGTAACTTTGAAATTTTAGAGATCGCATTCGTTCTTATCCCGAGAAAAAGCGGAATAATTTCACGGAAAATGTTATAATTAAACATTTTTGTAGTCCGAAAAAAAGTTTAACAATTTTAAAAATTTATTTCAGTCTAGCTTTCTACGTCTTATTTTAACCTTTAATTTTATAGCTATATATGTACTTAGGAAGACTGTTTCAAATAGAAATTAATAACAATTTTCTTACAATACGCTCATGCGTCCCTCCGCCTCCTTCGGGCCCTGCCTCCCGCCGGCTCCCTCCTCCTGCCACTTCTCATGAATTATAAAACAAAATTTACGTCTCACCTAGTAAAACTCAATCTACCTATAATATCAAAAATACTCAAATTTACGCAAAAACTCATAAAATTTTTGACAATGACATTTTTGTTTTTCTAACGTTGTACAAAAAACTTTTACGTGTTTTTAAATAATTAAATTTTAATTAACTCCGCGCCGCATTCTCACGGCATATAATTTCTTTATTTTCCTGCTTCAATGTATAATAAAAAAATTTTTTTTTAGTAAACTAAAATATTTATGGAAAAAATTAAATTGCAAAACAAAAACCAGAAAAAATGGAAAACAAAATATTTTATTTTTTTTATTATCCTTGTAACTAATACTCTTGTACACAATTTTCAAGCGCTTATCTACAAACAATACTGTTCATTAAATTCATTGTAATCTATAGCATTGCAAACTTCCTTTTTGTTTTCCTGTTTTGTTTTACTTTTATTCTATTTTTGATTTTTATATTACGTATTCAAACAGTATCAGCAAAAGGTAGAATATAAAAATCGAAAAATCTGAGTGAATTTTAGACCATTGTAATTGGTAGTTCAATAACTTCTGGCCACAACTTAAACAAGAATCTCAAATTTCAAGAAGATAGAAAATAATCAAGAATAAAAGGAGCCAAATTATAAAATCTGTGAAAATAAATTCAAAAAGTAACGAAATGCGGAACAA